AATTTTTGTGGGACAAATTAAAAGTTATGACATAATTTATTTTTAAATAAATTGTATGCAGTTTGTTTTATTAAGGATAAAAATCACAAAACGGTCAAAATGACCGCTACGGGCGTTCTAGTGTTAATCTATATTTATTAGTCACTTGTCAAAGAAATAATTTATCTACTTTAGTTGAAAAACGTATATACTATCTTTGTCTATATTTTTAATTTGTGTTTGAAACAAAAAAAAATCGAATTAGAGATCGTCATTATTTGCCTTGGACGATTAGAATTCGAAGATTTTAAAAGAAAAATTAAATATCGTTGATGAAAAGAAACATTTTTCTTATGATGTTGATAAGAATTTACCATTAGAAATTTATTTTATTCTTCTCCTCTAATTGTAGATAATTTTTTGTTTTTTAATTCAACTAATTGATTCTATAATAAAAGATAAACAATTAGTAGACGATATAAATTGTCGACAGTATTTTATCTTACTTGAAACCGTTGACATTCTTCGCCTGACAATAACATAATTAACTTTTGCTTATTTTCTCGTTAAAATTATGAACAATTGCAAAATAAACAACAAAAATGTTGTCTATAATTTCTGAAAAAATACAGAATGATACCCTCTTCAAGGAAGACAGAAAATTATTTCTGTTGCAATGAGAACATCGACTATACTAAAAGTATAGATCTTGTTTTGAACGCACGAAACGACGACAAATATCATTGGAGTTTATCTAATTACAGATTAGAAATAGTAAATTTCGATTTTATTGTCTCGAACCATTTTAGATTTTTAAGATAAACTTAGTCATAAAACAATATGATTAATTTATTGAATGTGCAATCGTTCTACAAATAGACAGAAACACACAAAAAAAACAGAAGAATGTTTGTCAATTAAAATTACTTTCAAAAGACAAGAGAAAAAAAAGAAAAATTATGAAGATATTTCATACTAAAAACTAGACAATATCTAATCAAAAAAAGAGTTACAATCACCGAATTACACACGCTATATAAAGATTTTGATCTCTCTTTTTAAGTTTCTTGACGTTAATCTAGTTTCGACAATTGGATCAAAAACTAGAAGATTTTCTTGATTAAAGATAAATCAGATTGACTGGTGTTTGCCGGATGTCAATAGGTCAGAATTTAATCATTTTATGAATGATGACGATTTCCTTCTAAATATAGATAAATAACAATACACAGCTAAAATATTTGCAAATAAATATTTTTCTAAGGCTTTTTTCTGTCAAAAATAGTGATTTTGAGATTTATACATGAATGAATAGCCCAGAGTGTGTACTTTCAGAATCTCGATCGCTTTCTGTCCCAGAGATAAAGTTTCATGGTTTCAGAGCACGTTTTTTTGAAAACCTTGAAAAATAGAATATTCGAATTCTAGTTTGTTTCACGATACTTATGCAATTCAACTATTCTTTAGAAGAGCGGATTTATAGAACAATCGTTTTTGGTTAAGATGAGATATAACACAATTCTGTGTGATCTACTGTTAAGTAAACAGTTACAAGCCCTGAAAGTGCACTAATAAATGCACGACGTTTTTCTCTTTTATTTTTTGAGTTTAAGCTGTTCGTCCAACAAAGATTTTCCGTCATTTTGAATGCTAAACATTTCAGGATAATCTTAAAATGTAGTCTGGCCTTGACACTACAATTTAACCGAGCCTGATTTTTGATTTTCAACGTAGTTCTTGAGAAAAATGAAGTTTGCCGAAAAACTAGCCAAAAATTTTCATAAATGTTGTAAAAAATCTGAACTAAATCAGTTTCTGTTAAGTTGTAGTGCCAAGTCTATTTTAAAATCATTCCGAGATTTTAAATTATAAAAATGAATACAATTTTTAATGAGAAGATAAAAAAGCATTTTATATGTTGATCAGGCACATTCTGATAAATACAGATCGACAACACTCAAGCAGATAGTCAACGATTAGCACACCAAATGCCGCTTTTGAATGATAAACATTTCTTTTAATATGTCCTCACAAAAAGAAATACAATGGTATTAAATTTAGTGACCTTGAAGCCATGAAATCGATCTATTTCGACCAATTCAACGGTTACCAAAAGTTTTCGTTTAACCAATCTTAGGCTGCTTTCGGAAAGTGTGGCGGAATTGGTTAGGATGGGCTGATTTTATGAGCTCCAAGATCAATATAGTGACCATCAGCAGATTTCTTTTTGTGAAAAAAAACATATCAAAACAAATGTTTATATGGATGATTTAAAGCGCAGACTAATGAAAATTGAGACAATAAAAAAAAACATTAAATAATGTTGTTTAATAGTAGAAAGAATAAAATTATGTATTAAATTAAAGAGTGATAATTTTGAGCAGCATTTGTAAACTTTTCTTTAATAAATAAGAATGTTGAACATTTCTCTTGAAAAAGAATAATTAGACTATTCGGTTAAAAAATGATAGTGTTACGCAAATTTATTATCCGTTAGTAACTTCTGGACACCCTGTTATAATTGTCAAAAACTAGTGAATTGAACTTACTTGTATTTGATCTTTGTCGTGGATGAAATAATCTTCCATGAAGATCAGTATCTGCCTCGTCAGATGTTGGTCGCTAGGAAAAAATAAATAGCTATGTGTATATATCTGACACTGAATAAGACATAAAATAAATTACGTACTGGATGATGCGTATGTCTTGAATGGGTTATATGTTGTTGTGATTCTAGAAGAAAAAGAATGAAAATACATTTGATCAAAAATTCAAGTACAAATAATCCTAACCATATGAATGCGTTCGACTAGTATCTACAACTGAGAGAACATGATCGAACGAATACGACGGGTTTGTTGGCATTTGATTTATTGAATACGGTCGTTTTGTTTTTTTCGATGCACCATTTTGTACATAATCTTTACTGCAATAATGAATAAAGGAATCTGTTCAGTAAGGCTCTTTTGTTATAATCACCAATATTCATTCATATACCTTTGCTGTTCTTTTATGGATGAATGATGTGAACGAAATGGTGAATGACATTGACCATCTTTAGCAACAATAGATCTAATTGATTGTCTCGACAACAACTCTTTTTCCTGTTCTGTATCATGTACTTCTTGATTGGACTTTGATTTAACGCTTAATATTTTTGTCACTAATATTTGTTTTTCATCAGTTTGTGGCTTATCATCCGCTGATATCGATATATCAGATATTGGTTGTTCTTCTTTAGTACGTTTTCGATTTTTTTCTAACGTTAAACGTAAATCAACAACTGGTATAGTTGTTGTTGCAATTTTATTTGAGGTTGTTTGTGAAACTGATGTTGATTGTAATTGTTCTTGTGATTTGTTACTAGTGAATTCTACTTTACGTCTTAATCCAGCAGCGGCAGCTTGATTGTCGACTTCAACTGATAATAGGGATGTTTTTTCGCTATAATGTGATTGTTGTTGTTGTGGTGATGGTGATAGTAGATCTTCTTCTTCAGAATACAAGTCAACTGCTGGAAACGTTGTAGAAAGCACTGTTGGATTAAATGCTGCTGTTCTCGAACGTGGTTTAATAGTATTATTTTTTATAGTAAATCGAAATGGTTCCGATGATGTTGTCACTGAAACACCATTTGATTTTAGCTTTCTTGGATAAGATGGATGTTTTTCAGTTATTAGTTTCGGTTTTAATATTTCATTTGGCATTGGAATTTGTGATGGATCTACTTTTTCTTCAGCCTAAATTAATTTCTCGAATAAGCTTAGTTTAAAGAACCCTATATTAGTATACATTTGAATAAATTTAAAAAACAGAAACAATCTTTATAGAATAGATTTCAGAGACTATGATTAATCTTACCGAATCACTTACATTCGCAATTTTTTGTGGTGTTGCTTTGGCAATTTCACCATCTTTCAATAGAAGCAATTGATTTTCTTCCTTCTTTTTTTCACCTTTCTTTTGATTAAGTGCAATATTATTTTCATTATTATCAACTATTGGCTTCATAGCTTCTTTAAGGTGATTGGTATTATTTATAATGCTTGCTGTTTTTGTTGGTAATAATGATGATGGTACTGGTATTTTTTTCACTTTTTCATTTTCAGTCATCCTCACTGACGAGATTAATTCATTTCTTAACGGTGATGTTGCTGTTGTTATTCGTTGTTTAAGACGATCGTTAAGTTGTTTTTCACGTTCAATTAGTTCCATTTCTTTCAATATCATTTCACGTTCTTTTTGTTTTAATTGTTGTTGCTGAATCGTTATTTGACGTTGAATTAATTCATGAATATCTCTAAACATAGTGAAGAGAATGTTGTGATTAACACATTCCATTTCAAAGAAAAAGCAAAGAAACAGAATAAACGTGGAAGTATTCTCCTTTTAAATTCATTCATTGTTATCATATATATATATATCAACTGGAATCGACGATTTTACATATAAATTATCCATTTAAATTAATATTTTATCTTCTTTGAAACAAGAGTGTGTGTGTGTGTACATATAGCTGTTTTTCATAACATACACCTTCTTTCACAAGGCCATTACCTTGTCAACTTCCCTTGCCTTCTTTCACACGTTATATAAGAAAAGATGAAAAACAAAGGTTATGGAAATGCGGCTATACTTGTATAATGAATTCACATCAACGACAGCATTTGATGATGATTGTTGATGCTGATTTCTATTCATAATCTTCAATGGGTTTTGTTGTAGCGATTTTGACGAAAAAACAAGGTCTAACATTTCTGTTAAATCAACAAGCGGTGTATCTGTTGTCGGCAATGCTACGGAAGATGTATTCAATGTTGAAAATAATGTAGTCGACAATTGTTCGTTTTGTACTGCTAAACAAAGGGGAGTAGGTGTTGTCAACGATCTAAATGAGAAAAAAAAGATAAAAATAAATACAAAATTCGTTTTGTATCGTAAGGTCTTCTGACAAAAGAAGACAACACACAGGCTTATATCTGTCAACAAAACCGATCAAACTGATCTGATCTCATTGGAAGGGTGACATATAAGTGTGTTTCGTTTGAGTGCATTCTCACTCAAGTGTATCTTATTTTAGCGCGCCTTATGTGGGTGCGTTCTCAATTACATCCCTCATTTTTGAAAATATTTTGAAACGTTTGAACCGTTTGTGTCATTATTGTGTGTTATTAATTCTTAGTTGTTTTTTTTTCGAACAATTTCATCATCAACATACTCTTGTTGCAAACCGACGTTTTGAAGATCACGGTATAATGTGTGATTGAAATCGAAAGGTTTACTTATTTAAGGTAAATCTTACCTGATTTTTAAAGATTTATCTTATATTCTTCTGTGGACAACTTTCCGTATTTATCCTGAATAACAAGACTTCGTAACAATGTTGGTGTCAGTGGTTCATTTTTATTTCCTTTATACTGATATAATGCAGAGCCGAGGTCTAGTTTTGCATAATCGTTAAGAGTGTCAAGACGACCATGACAACCGTCTTCTCAACATTTCCATGAAGCTAATTCTTTTTGATGGTGTTCAAAGATTTTTGAAACCTTTATGCATCGTCAACGTCAATGTATAGATTAATTTGACCAAACACTTTTAAACCCATCAGATCCATGCAAAACCAGATCTCAGCTCTGTATTATATCAGCATAAAGAAGGTAAAACTGAACCACTGATATCAACATCGTTACGAAATCTTGTTATTCAGGATAAATACGGAAAATTGTCCACAGGAGAAAATCTCTTATAAGTTCAAATTCCAGGTAAGATAAGCCTTTCGTTTTCAATCACACATTATACCACGATCTTCAAAATATCGGTTTATAACAAGAGTTTGTTGATGATGAAATTGTTTGAAAATATTGTAAGCTGCATTATTTTTGAAATTAAAATAAAAGATTGCTAGCCATTACGAATTAATAACAAACAGTGATGACAGAAACGGTTCAAACGTTTCAAAATATTTTCAAAAATGAGCGGTGTAATTGCCATACTTTTAAAATATTTTCTTTAAGACGATTGTCATCCACTTACTTGTCTTTTGCCTTCACGGCGTGTGGTTGTACATCTTTTGAATCAGATGATTGAGCATTGCTGTTGAGGGATAATGGCTCTCTGTCTTCAACATGTAGTTGACTTGACATGTTCGAATTGCCAGTATTAGCATTCTGCTATATGACAAAAAACACGTTTTTTGATAATTTTTCGAACTTAATCTTGGCTTCTTTATTACCGTGTTTATTGTAGCGAGATCGTTTATCGTTGATGTATCCGTTATTTCTTCCTCACCATCAGTCCTGTTAGATGACTTTTTCTTTTGTTCTTTATACTCTGACGTTTTGGTAGCAGGCGCTTTGGTTGAATTTTTTTTCTTTGACGATGCTTTTGATGACTTTGACGATGAAGATGTTGAAGAAGAAGAGGAGCTCATCGGTTTGAACAATTTACTCGAAACTACTGCTTTAGATGAGGTCTTAGATGTAGTTCGGTTGTCTGTAGTGGGCATCTGCGGGCGTTTTGATCGAGAACTTTGTTGACTGTGCGTTCGAGGTGATGGTGAACGTGATTGTGATGTGAAAGATGAAACTCGTCGAGACGTATATGATGAATCAAATTGATTTGATGAAAAGGCCGGTCTTCTAGTACGCGATGACTGAATATATGTGGAATGTGGATAACGATGATATTGTTGATACCGTGGCGACACATGATGATGAGATGGTACTGAAGAAATATTATAAGGATGATGAAAATTATGTGCAGAAGAAAATTGTTTTGTTAATGATGAATCTTGTACGGGACTTTTTAAATGAGATTTTCGTTTCGCGTCGGTCGACGAAAGATAAGACGGCGAAGCTGGACGTTTTCTTGATTCACGATGGCGACTAGATGATGCATCGGTTGAGTGCTTGCTTGTAGAAGATTTCTCATTGGTTTTTTTTGACATACTTGTTCTAAAGTAAGTAAGTACAAATGAATTACCAACATTTTTGTTGAAATCATCATACCTTTCTTCATTCATCATATTTTCCAATACTATATCGTTAGGAATTGTGCAATCGAGAGTATCTGAGACAATGGTCGATGTCAAATGGGGATTGCGTAATGATTGTCGATTCAATTTGTTTTCTCCTTTATTGCTGTTACTATTATTGACAAGTACATTATTATCAAATGTATTATCATCCGAATGTAATGAGAGACGATCATGATATTTCTGAGATGAACTGGAGAATGAGCGCTTATTTAAGTCTCTACCAATAACTCTACAAAAAAAAAGACCACATTAGTATTATCGTGACAAACATAAACTAAAGTATTCCGTATGATGAGATTAAAGTAATAATCGTTGAAGAAGGACATTTTTAACAAAAATCTTTGATATTCGACTGAATGACTATAACGCTTGCGTGAACTATTCTATGCCCTGTACAAGCGTACCACACAAAAACCGTAAGCTCGGAACGTTTTGTGAAATTCATAGCTCTTCACTTGAGCAACGTACAGAGTGGGAAAACGTCGTATTTTGTAGCTTAAAATTTTTTCTTTCAAATTAAGCAAAGTCTGGCTCTATCCTAAACACTCGCCTATAATTTGCGCCAATAAGACCCTTTTGTACGAAAGTGGCGTATACCAAAAACATTATGTCACTTAAACCAGTCAGCTGCTAAACGTTGCTTAATTACCATTTAAAAGAAAGAATTTTAAGCTACAAAATAAGACGCTCCCCAGCTTCTCGTCCGAAGAGCTATGAAGTTCACAAAACGTTACAGACTAGCTCTCTAGCTATCCTGCATCAAATCGAACAACGGAAAGAAAATTGCAAAGTAAAAAGATAAGCAAAAGAGCAAAGTTGAATACCAAACAATTGATATTGTTAGTCTATAATTAAACAAGGCTTATCGGGAATGTTGTCAACTACCATAAAAGTCGAGTAGTGTAAAGTTTATTCCTTACATATATACATACTTACCGTGAATTATTTTCATGCGAACTAATCATTGTCAACAAATTTGAGAAGCTAATGTTAATATTTAAATTAAGATAAATATGTATAATCTACAACTAAAATCGCGACAAAATTGCCAATAAGTAAAAACTGCAAAGTGCTTTCGGCTGTTTAACTTAAAAAAAAAGATCATTGTTTGTTTGACATTTTTTAATTTTAGCACCAAACATAACAAAGCCATGTACAAAAAATGTTTACAAAAACGCTCAATATTTCTTCGATGAAGACGTTCCACTGGATGAATTAGTAGCCGTTGGAATAGATGAATCTTGTTGTAATTCCCATAATTGTATTTTATGTTCTTTAATTGCTTCCTAAAACACATAACGGATGTTGATCAGAACCTGGAATAAACTGCTTTTTCAAAAGAACTACTGTAAATTAGGACGATATTGCTCGACACTTGTGCAATACCTTAATGCATTGTTGATATTTTTTAAATAATTCGCCACATTTATCTATTCTATCACCTTTTAAATAATTTTCCGAGAACCAATGATTAAAACAATTGTCATATTCTTCTTTTAAATATTGACAATTAGGACTAATGCTACTCATTATTTTTTTCTTAAAAAAAATAGAGAATTAGCCAAAAAACAGATTTGTTTTTGTGCAACACTACCTAAACAACTCTTAGTGACGTCCCATAAGTTTCCTCCCCAAATCCATAAGAATCAGTCTGTAGAAAGCCCCTAGACAATTCTCAGTTTACGGAAGTCAGGAGAGTTTTGCATACTGTCTGTGGACATGACATTATTTCCATTTTGTTCTGTTATTTTTCATGTTATATAGGAAACACTCATTTTTCGATAAAGTTCGCAAATTTTTTCTGTCAGTGAGTAGACAAGACATGAAATCTATCAATAGGCCATGGTTACGCGCCATGGCCATAAGTAGGCATGCACCAGTTACAGTTAACTGTAAAACTGTAACTGTCATAACAGTGTAACTGTAACTGTCGTAACTGTATAACTGTAACTGTCATAACTGTAACTGTCAAAACTGTAACTGCTCATAACTGTAGACAAATATTCTAGAGTGAATTAGTCTTCTACGATTTAGAGACATTTTAAGAACAGAGACATCCTTAAAATGTATGCAAATCGTAGAAGACTAATTCACTCTAGAATATTTGTCTACAGTTACGACAGTTACAGTTATAACAGTTACACTGTTATGACAGTTACAGTTTTCACAGTTACAGTTAACCGGTAAAAAACTGTTACGACAGTTACAGTTATGACAGTTACAGTTTTACAGTTATACAGTTACGACAGTTACAGTGATAACAGTTACACTGTTATGACAGTTACAGTTTTCACAGTTACAGTTAACCGGTAAAAAACTGTAACTGGTGCATACCTAGCCATAAGTCATAAGGGATTTTCTATTCTACTGGAGGAGTACACAGTGGGAAAACAGAGAAAACATTCATTTCCAAGAGTATGGCTCCAACCGTATCCAGTGTTATAGGCTAGATATTTCTGCGTTTGATTGCGCTTTTAGTTTTGTCTAAAATCCAGTCACTGATTATATAACACTAGAAGAAACTAAGCTATACTAATATCATCTTCTACAAAAAACGTATCGCATTAGAAATAAAGTGATTACACCAGAAATATTTTAAGATGTATAAAAATCAAAAACTTTTCAGTCATCCTCTTACGTTACATATGAAATAGAGTGAAAAGAATGGATTATCACATAGTTAACTAAAAGAAAGAAAGATATGAGAGGTGTAAAACATTATTTTGGCTAGTTTTAATGAAATAAATAGACGAAAATATTATTTATTCATTGCAACTTTTAACTCAACTAAATAATAAATGAAATAAAACTAGACTAACAAGAATAAGATTAATCAAAAATAGCTATCCGTATACTACTGGTGAGTATAAACAATAAATGATTAATGATGATTCTTACTCATATGTCCATATTTTTCCCTTCCATAAATACTCTTCAGAACTTCTTTGTTATGTAAAATCATAAAATGAAAACCAGTGCATATTAAATTTGTATTCATCCTAATTTTCAATTCTGCAGTCACTACTAAACTGAGCTCGGCACTCCCAGTTGCCACGCGCTCTGTTCTATTTCAAAATACACTATTATTAAACAGCATCTTTTTGAGAGAAAAATGAACTGTTTTGACGAATGATAGTTCATAATATGCAGTTTTATATGCTCGATCTAATGAAACTGCAAATTAGAGCTTAGTCAAAATTCAGATTTAAAGATTTTGGATCGCAAGTCTACTTTCTTGCCGTACTCGAGGTAGTTCACATGCCACTATCGCATTGCATTCAAGCCACGTTATAAAACGTAGAAACGTCAAAGAGCGTCATTTCGCGATTCGATCGCGGTAAGAATACCGTCAATTAGTAGACGCAATAGAGAATAAATAGCGTTCATGATAAACTATTAAGAAATGGCGATCGCGCCGCGAACAACGTCGCGACGGTGACATGAAAGTTAACTAAGACTTTTGCTCAAAATGCGGATATCTATCCGCCTCTATTATTATGAGTTTCCGTCGCAAAAAAACTTCGAATTTCGCTATAATGAAGCAGTTTCTATATTTACGATGAGCTTCAGAGTATGTTTTGGGGTTGATCTTATCCAGATAAGAAATTTTGTTTTAATCTCGTTTTTGACCCGTTTCCGTATTCTTCTTTCGCAGATTAATTCGGCCTTATTCTTTCGATTTTAGGCCTATTTAAAAGTTTTCGGGAGCTATTTCAACCCCCCCGCACCTCCTTTCTGTTGTCAGCTAGCTTTCACTGAATGCTAAAGTTACTTGCTAATAGCAGTTGTTAGTACCAGATAATTTCTGACAACCTGTTTATTCTTGTTTTTACTTTCGATTTGATTTGATTGTGTATACGTTCTAAATGCAGGATGGGTCACTCGTCCATACTACCACTGTGTCCGCCAATCAGACAACGTATAACTGCCTCTTTCTAGTTAACATTTGAACAGTTAACACATCTATGCGATCTGTCAGTAATCGTTACGAGCATTTTGTGAAGCCTAATGTAAATTCTACTATTAAAACGAAAAAGAAAAAACTGCAGTAATAAAAAAGTAAAATGCTTTTAATTCAACGAAAAAACATAAAGGAATAATTCCCATAGAAGCGAATATTGAAATCAGGACATATCGAATACAATATGGTTAGTGTCCAAGTGGGCGAAATGTGGCTACAATCACCACGCTTTTTGTTCACTTAATTCACTTACCCTGGGAAAGTTTTTCCAATACGTCGATGTATAATCCATTGTTGATGAAGTGAAATTTTAAGAAACAATGCCTGAGACAAGATATAGGATGTACATTTGTTATTTTATTATTGAATGTCATTGGAAATGATGTTAGTCGTTTATGAATAAGATCGAAGTTGAGACATAGTTTATGATGTAATGTTTGTATGTCATCAGTCTTATTATTCAAAAATTCAGTTTGTGGACATTCAAATAGTATTGTTAAACATAGCATTGTGTAAATTGCTTGAACAGGCGTATCATGTCGGCAGGTAAAGGTTAGACATTACAAATCTTTTTCATACGCAGTATTTTGCCATTGGGAAGTATTATTAAAGTGTCAAAGTGTGTTTGTTTATTTCTTTAATTTTAACTGAATTATAAATGATGATAAATCAAGTCGTTATTCATATTAGAATATTCGTTTTTATACGTACGTGGTTTATAGTAGTCAGGAACAAACCATGTTGCGAATTCAAATAATGTTATATTCTTCAGAATATCATTTTCAGCTGGTCAATGTTGGTAATGTTCGAAGGTAGTATCCACGAAAGAATGATCATCTAAAATTTCATTGTTCAGTTTATCCTTTCGTACAATTCTGGTTCTATTTCCTGGTAGATCAATATATAAGTGTGTTGTTGTTTTACTGGAATGATATAAAGGTAAACCTAATAACCACTGCTATCATGCAAAAAAGAAGAACGGTGAAACATCTGTACATAAACAATTTTACTACATATATTTCCTTTATTTATGTATACTAACAGAATATATTGTTGTTGTTTTTTTTGCGTACTGCCTCTATTTTATCGATTTGTCGATGACTTAGGATAGCATTAACAGTTTTCAATAAAACTGTTTTAGCTTCTTTTATTGATTCACAGGTACAATCAGCCATTTCATGAACTATAGTTTTTTCTGTTTTTGCATGTTTAGTAACATAGGCAAATAGATATTCACTTGAAGCAAATTCATCGGCTATAACCTGTCAGCACGCAAGTATTACTAAGGGTACCCCATCCTCTTTTTTGAAAAAATTTCGAATTTTGAGCTGTGTATAGCCTAATGAGAGAGATCTTCATGAACCGTGAGATGATTGAACAGGATTTTGTTGAGTACATGGTAGTGATATAAATGATACTTCATCTGAATTGAAATGTCGTCTGGCGCCATGTGAGAGCTAGCAATGATATGAATAATAGCTCTAATGTAGAGAAAGTGTGGGCTACAAAATGAGATCACTCCCAGCATCCCACGACCTTTCTTCAAAAAGTTATGAAGATGAAGAGTGGCAAGAGTTTTATTTATTTTCAATGCCTCTGCCAGTGCTTCACTTCCTCGAACAGATATTTGATTTTCTTGAAGATTAAGAATGATCAGAGTTTTATTCACTTTCAATGCCTCTGCCAATACTTGCGCGTCTTCTTCATCAATTCCGATATTCTGCAGCTTCAGTTCCGAAATGGAATCAAGTGCTTGCATTTCTGCTTCTAGTCGTTTATTTTTACATGGTAGTTTGTCGAATGAGGATTCGCAAAGAACATACGGCGAAGTTGTTTCTTCAACATGAATAATGTGTAAGTTCGATCCACCATCTATTTTACCTTTCACTTCAAAATATATTCCCGGCATCAGAAGAATTTCGTTCTCGTTTTTATAGAGTGAATGTGAGTGAATCATTTCCATTGAATAGTAAAGAGTGTTCTTGTCCCTGTTTTGCCAAGAAATTGCTCTTTGTTCAGAACTTCTAGTGATTCTGTGCATGAACATAGAGCATGAGATTCTTCTGTTAAATGTCTTACTGTTTTATTTATAAAGAACAAAGAATTAAATTATCTATCTTCTGCTTTCTTTTTTTCAATAGTCACTACAATCTCAATTAACAGTAACTATAATTATTCTTCAATATTGTGTCTTCGTTTGACCAACAAATCTTTTTTTTAAAATTTATTATACTTTTCTTCGTAATTTTCGGATTACTCTCGTTTCGTCCCGTATTCTTTAATTAGCTCTCGTTTCGTTTTACTATTCATTTTTTTCTATTAACTGTATACTAATCAATATTAATATAATTAATTAAGATAATGTAAGAAACTGATACATGGCTGTATAAATTACATTTATTATTTTATTTACGAGTTACAATGAAACAGGTGATTTTACAGTGCTAACACATTTGCCACATTTAATTGCAAGTTCAGTTCCAGACAAAGTAACATTTCCATAGCTTTTAAAAATATTCCTTCAATTTCAATATTCAAATGCAATACACGTTATACAGAACCTTTCACATAAACAGTTAAACGGAAAAAAGTCTACAACAAGTGTGATAATAAATTGAAGGAATATTTTTAAAAGCCATGGAAATGTTACTTTGTTTGGAACTGAACTTGCAATTAAATGTGGTAAATGTGTTAGCACTGTAAAATTACCTGTTTCATTGTAACTCGTAAATAAAATAATAAATGTAACTTATAAAGCCATGTATCAGTTTCTTACATTATCTTAATTAATTATGTTAATATTGATTAGTATACAGTTGATAGAAAAAAATGAATAGTTATAAAATGAGTAGAATGATAGAAAATAAACGGGACGAAACGAGAGCTAATTAAAAAATACGGGACGAAATGAGAGGATACCTAATTTTCTTCTTTCTCTCTCTCGCAAACGAAAATTGTCGTATTAACAAAATCTGAGGCTTCTCAATTGCGATCACTTTTTTGATAAAATATGTGAGTGAGTGAAAAATAGTGATTTCAATTAAGAATGAGCCACAAAATCACGTTCTCGTTTAAATTAAAATTCTCTCGAAAAAAAATGGCGCCGAACAACTGAATATACGAAAAATTTCAAAATCTAAAATCCATCTTTATTTCACTTCTGGCGTTTATGGCATCGAATCTGGACCCGTATGTGAGAGAAAAATCTGCATTGATCAATTTCCAATGTGGGAAGAATATCCTACCTTTTCCAGAACTTTTCTAGGTTCCATAGTTCTCTAGATTACGAGGTGCATATTTTGCCAAAAAAATAGGGACGACAGAAAGAAGAAAATAAACTAGCGAGCAATTGTGCTGCGCACAAGTTGCGATGTCGACAGACTCTGTCTCTACTGATAACTGCCAAAAGTTATCAATTTAATCATCAGATTTCCACTGCACCGCTTCCATTGTGATTTGGTATTTCAGTTACTGTAAACGACATAATGAGAGAGAATAACAGAGACAGAGAATTATTTTTCTTCTTAAGAACAAGTGACACCGAACAACTGATGCTAATAAAATTTAAAAAACTTTCAAGTCCAAAACATATTTTTTTCCCCCTTGTGTAGCTTATGGCGCCGAATATGGACTTGTGTTTGAGAAAAGAATGTGCATTGATCAATTTAATGTGGGGAGAGTATCCTACCTTTTCTAGAACTTTTCTGGCTTTCTAAATTCTCAATATCACCTCTAATAAAAGAGAAATGTTATCATTGAAAATTGTGCGGTTTGGAAAACATTGTTTTCCTTCAAGAAGAAGAAGAAAAGTTCAATGGCAAGCGAATTTAGGAAAATATAACGCTCAAATTTTCTGTAATATTAGCAGACTATTAGCGAAAGTACAAAAGATAATTTCACTTCTTAATTCTTTGTTCTGACTGGGTTATAGAATTATTACTGTTACTATACACAGTGTTCCTTTAGAACAAAAAAATTCATAACTTTTGAAAGAACTGATATGGGTCCTCCTTTGAGGGCTTTTATTTCCTCACTTTCCTCTGTTAACTAGCATAATATCATTAAAAACGTAGTTGGGCATCTGAAGACCTTACCTCGTTAGCGAATGCAGTTGTTCTGAAAATAAGTATTTCAACTGGAAATTCCGATAGACTTAACTTTTCAACGATTAATACAAAATTGAAATTATTATCTATATTTTAAATTGCGCCGCACAATGTTCAACACGAACCCGATCCGAAAACATCTTAACCCAACCCGACCCTAGGGTCGGGTCGGGTTGCAGGTCTCTAATCACGAGGTGCACGTTTTACCAAAAAAGAGACGACAGAAGAAAATAAAAACAAAAATCCCAGCAAGAATACAATATTTGTCGACATAAGAACCCAAATCCTTGGCTACAAATTCCTACAAACTCTAACATCAATTCATTTAAATATAAAGGTCACCGTCGGATAAGTAGCCTATGTTTTCATATTCTAAAGACAGAACCGACGCTGGCGAACACGAATATGATGTCAAATGTTTAAGAGCACTTAGAAAAAAATTATGAGCCATTTATGAGTGAGACCATTAATCATCCAATCTCTTCAGTATAAACATTTTTTCTCAATCAGGAGCGAAAAAGTCGGAATTCTGCCTGTACTTCTATATTTTCTGCATCAGAGCTCATCTTTTATGCAATAAAAATATCATATTCTGGACCAGCGTTGAAAACTGAGTCGAATGATGCGTATTTCGATATTTTTCCTTTTCATTTTTTGACATGAGAAAAAGTAAAGTAGGCGGATAGGATACAAAAAGTACATCATTCGACTCAGTTTTCAACGCTGATCCAGAATATGATATTTTTATTTCATAAAAGATGAGCTCTGATGCAGAAAATAGAGAAGTACAGGCAGAATTCCGACTTTTTTGCTCCTGATTGAGAAAAAATGAATTTTCTCAGTGACAAAGCAAAATGGAAAAAAAGTGATCCGTACTTTTAAAGCGCGTTTGCTGGCGGCTCTAATGAAGTAAAAAGATCGGCTTCATCTCTTCACAACTAGTCAACGTTGACTACATCAGTCGGGGGTGAGGTCCTAATTTGGGTGATGTTTTACAGACGCATTTTTTGACTGATTAGTAAACCAAAATATATTTTTCTGATGTAGTTTCCTTCGCTGGCCACGAATCTGACATCAGATTTCAAAAAGTATGAAAAATGAGTGAAATATGAGCGACTTTTGGTGATCGGCTAGCTGTGTCTAACTGATTGAAAAAATGTTGGTCGAAAATGTGGTCCTGTTCTTGGGTCTGTTTTTTTTTCGAATGATTTCATCAATCGATAGGCTATGTTTAGGAGATAATTCTGACAAAGTTAGGCAAATGTGTTTTTTCTCGTTTTGGAGAAAATCGTCACTTAATAACGACGAATTTAACGAATTTGACATCATATTCGTGTTCGCCAGCGTCGGTTTTATCTACCATGTCATAAGAATATGAAAACAGAGGGTGGCAAATATAGCTACTTATTCGGCGGTGCCCTTTAAAACACTAGTTTTTGATGATACGTGAAGCTAAAATCTTGGTATTTTCTGCTATGTGAGCCATTTCTCTGGAATGTCAAGTGAAAATGGCGTGGCGTTATCTTTTTACAGTTGTGTATTTATTTCGAAACAAACAAAAGAAAAGAAAATTATAGAAATCGATTGAGTGGAACGGATTCTATAAGCGAAACATCGCTTGAATCCAGCTCTATACATTGCTATGCAAATCACTCGTATATATAAATATATATATATATATACAGGTTACATATATATATATCTATATAGAGGTTACAAGTTTCATAAAAGCAAAATCATTTTTTTCAAAAGTTCATAACAAACAAATCTAACGATTTGTAAAAGAAAATTAATAGAGAAAAACTGAACCAACGGTTTCGGACAAATAGAATGATAAATGCGACAAATTTCAAAAAATTCACACAAGTGCCGTTGGCTTTATAAATAAACAAAAAATTGCCGAGGAGAGAAAAGTTTTTTTTAGTACCCTATGATTTAAAACAAAGCAAATGTCACATATATTTGATCACTGTTAAAGAATGAAAGACTTTTAGGGTTGTGAGTTCGATGTAAGCAGAAGAGAACTGCAATATGAGAGAATGATGCGTCTTAGTCTGAACTACAAAATATTCCTAAATCCAAAATACAGAAAATAAAAATATCTAACAACGAATTTGAGCTATCAGTTATTACGAATTATGAAAGAAACGATGTCAAAGCTGTATTCTTTATGCTATACGGAAATATCCTGCTCACCAGAACCGTAGCCAGAGTTTTTCGAGGAGAGATCTACCAGCAAAACAAAAAACTCTTTTCGTGACCAAAGGTCCCTCTCCGGATATTTTTTCCTAAGAGGGAGCTAAGTTCACCGTTCCTCTTCCTGGCTACAGGTCTGTTACAAGTATAATTGAATTTGTTGTGTATAATATATATTAAAGTAACAATAAAAAAGGAATGTAATCAACAAGCAGAGAAAAGGTGATGTTAATCTATCGGAGATAATTTGATTAATTTAAAGACGTAGAGAATATCGTCAAATAGTTTCTTGGCCGTTTTGGCAATATCGACAGCTAAATCAGTCGTTTTTTGGTATTGTCGTTGTCTAACAGATTCAATTAATGATACAACCAAACTTGAAAAATGATTGTAACGTTGTTCAGACTAAAACAAAATAAAAAAAAATTTTCACAAAATACCATACACATTTTTCTTTTTTCAACAAACAATGCCAAGAGAAATTTGAAAGTCGACATTATTTTAAATATACATCATATGTATGATTGATTTCTCTAACTATTTTTAGCATGTGGCTAATCCATAAACTATAGCCGGAGAAAATCATCTCTTAGTTTAGTCTTTAAAACTGACCATTTCTTTGACTTCGTTTGGTGCATAATCTAACGTTTGTAAAAGAGCTCTGACAGAAATGGCTACATTTCTGACGAGCATCATTCGTTCTTTATCATCATAGACTGCAGTTGTTTCTGATTGTTGTCTATAAGCCGTTTCGACACCATCTGTTTGACGTGTCAACGTTAATACGGCATTAATGATTTGTTTTGTTTGTGAATGAAATAACTCAATTAGATTTTCAGTAACATAACTGTTGGTCTCTGACTCTTTATTGATTTGTTTTAAATATGAATTTCCAGTACGAGCGTTTATCGTCTGATAACGTCTCACTGATGGAAAATTTCCAAATGAATTATTCATCGACGCGGAATGTGAATGATTATCATTCTAAACATTAGAAAATCAATTTGTTTACCTCCTGTAGAAGAAGATGCAGACAATTCAAAAAACCTCAAAAGGCGAACATTACCGAGCAAAAAACTTCATATACATAGGAGAAAAACAAAACAAAACGATTATTTCTACACGAAGGTCAACTCTGCATGCAAGAATGGTTTTACTTAAGCTTTAAACAAGCAGCCAAGATTGTACTCATGCACTCAAACGAAATCCTCGTATTTACATACAAGAATGCCACTGCGATGCCGAAATACACTAGATAAAGTCTGAAAAAGAAAAAAAAAGAAAAGAGTAAAAACCGCTTTAAGTTGTTCAAGTTGATGCAAACATCTTTGATACAATTCTATTTAATAGCTTTTATTCACATTATTAAGTCTACTCATCGATGTGTTTAGTAGTACACAACATATTTTGAAACGCTCTACATCGGAAACACATGGTAATAATTAATGTAGTAATGTTGTCTAATAAATCAAAAGTTCCAGATACATTGACTGTTGAATGATATAAGTTTAGAAGCGATACAGAAAATACAAAACGTACCTTATAGCCACTTTTATGGCTATTAGATAATGTGATCGGCAACCGTAGTGTATCAGATCTATTAATAGTAGAGCTGTTTTTGTCATTGTCGGATACTAGAAGACAGACAGAAAATACGTTCAATCACATTTACTTGCGCTACTCAAATCACACACTTTTGATACGTACACAGATTGTCTTTTTTTGACACTCTCGGAGGTTTTGATGGATACGGATCGTTCGATGGTGGAGAGGTAGAATGAAATGACGAGAGAGAGAAAGAAACTGATAAAGATTCAGAGGTGGTTGTCGGCGTTAATAATATTGATGATGAAGACGAGGGAAAAACAGGAATGAGTGGCCTATCAAAAGATGGGGTCTGCTGCAATAGTGGCATTGCTTTATTCAATGGAACTAATATGCGATCTTTAAATTGAACAAATGACTTAACGTTTGAACGTTCATTATCGAGTATGGATCTAAAAGAAAGCCAAAATAAATACTATTATGTATAAGAGAATTATAAATGTATAAGATTTTCATACCTAATGCTACCTTCAATTTGTGTAAATGACGGCCTCAACGAAGGTTCGTATCGCCAGCACTCTTTCATGAGTTCAAACAGTTTTGGAGGACAATATGGACTTGGCATTGGTAATCTTTCACCATTCTCTATTTTATCAATTACCTCCGAATTCGGTATACCTTCAGAGGAAAAACGAAAAACAATCCAAAATGACAATCATATTTTGACAATAGATACTTTGAAATGGTTTTTCTCCCATCGTGATGATTTCCCACATACAGACACCTAAAAGGAAAAATGACTTGATAAATATAGTGTTATAGAACATAGGAATTTCAGATGAATAAGATTCTTGGGCTAGTTGAAGAGAAAAAAAACTGTATAAATACCAAACATCCATATGTCGCTACAATGTGTGAATCGCCGAAAATTGACTAAAAAGGATAACAAAAATTCGCATTTCTAAAGTATATTACAATTTAAAGGCTTACTTGATTCTGGAGCCATCCATTTTACAGGTAATAATTTTCCTTTGCTTGCTATTTTAAAGAAATTAGTAGATTTAGATTTTAGTGGTATCCATAATAGTCATTTTTACCTTTATAATAGGAATTATCTATTTCTCGTGATAATCCAAAATCTGACAATTTGACACATTCATGATTTGAAACAAGAACGTTTCGTGCAGCAATATCTCTGAAAGGAAACTAACCATCAACATTATCGTTCTTCTTACTATCAATAAAATACCTGTGCACAAATTTTTTTGTTTCCAAATAGGATAGGGACGAACTGAGTTGCTGACAATAGACTAATAATGTAATAACATCAAAATCATTTCGATTGGCAACCAAATATGAACGCAACTAAATTAATCAGAAATGGTTAGAAAGGGAACTAGAATCAAACAAATAAATTACTTCGCCTAATTTGGCTAATTCCATGATCAAGAGAATAGGATGGGTTGTACAAATGCCAATAAGTTTGATAATATGTGGGTGATCAAATTTCTGCATGACATCTTTAAAGAATAGAATAAGAACCGTAATTGTTCAATTATGATACTATACATACAAGCTTCTTCAAGAAATTTTTCGGTTGTTAAAGAGTCTTGTTCTTTACACGTTTTAACTGCAACATCGAGTTCGATTTGCCGATTAGTCTAAATAAAAATGATATGTAATAAATACTACTGCAATCAGAACACTTTTTTTCAACTTACTTTCAAAATGCCACGATAAACGTCTCCAAACTGACCGTGTCCAAGTGCTTCGATCATCTGAATTTGCTTACGATCTATTTGATAGTTGGGAGCTAGAAAAACTTCAATTTATAAAGAAAATTTTTAAGTAAGGTTTTACTACTTACCTAATATCGCCGCATAATCGCCATTTAACTCATCATCATCCTCGTGTTCATCGTGCTCTAAAATAATGAATAAGTAAACTTTAGCTTCATATTGTATTACAACTATTCAAAATCAAAACGATAATACTTACGGGAAATAAATGACAATGCTGATTGACTGTTGCTGTTTTTATTATTATTTACATTGCTATCTTTATCGTTCAAATGATCTGACGAATTTATCAGTAAAAGTGGATGTGGAGCCAGAAATGGTGGAGGTGAGATACAAGAACGTGACGTTTTTGATTCATTGTCTATCAGTCGCCATATTGACACTGTTTTGCGATTAACTAACATACAATAACCATCAATCAGAATAGCAACATCGTTTGCATCCGATAACGATGAAAAAGTAAATGTTAACGGCTAAACGAAAAAATATATAGGACAGTTGAAGCTCTCCCTATAGTACATACCTCGCTTATTCCAGAAACTGTCAGTTTCATTAATCCACGATGATCAATAGGCGATTTTGTTGTTAGAATGGCAAGTATGTTTTCGAACGATGTCATTTTTGCTGACTAAAAGTAAAATATGCTATTAAGTGTGCTAGAAACTAATGATAATGGCACACTTTAGTTGAATTTTGCGTTCGATAACTAATTTCATCGTTTGGACCAATAAGAAGTTGGACTGGTACTGTCCACTCAGCCTAGAAAAGTAGTTAAATAAGTTTTTCGAATCTAGCTTCAACTTTCATGCTCGAGTTACATCCACCAACTTACTCCAAGGTTACAAGTAAAGCATTCTTGTTCATAATTCCATACATTTTTCAATAAGAAACAAAATCGTTTCATACACTCTTCCTCTGAAAGTCCTGTTAATGAAAACAAGCCATTTTTGAATGGTACGTTCTAAAATGAGCCGAAGATAAATTTGGTTACCTTCGTATTTCTTCAAACACGTTTTAATATATTTACGAAATAATCTGGGCTGCAAGATAAACACGTTTATGTCAAAAAATTAAAAATTATTCTCAATTTTAGTAATAATACATTACTTTGTAAGAATTGAGAATAGTTTCTGGAAAAAATTTTCTCAGACCAATTTCTTTTTCCAAATAATCAACATTTATTTTCTTATCTAATGCTGTGGGGTTTAAATCTTTGAATAATTTTCTGATTTCAAGACAGCCAAGTTCGATGATGTCGCTCGTTGTACCAAGACCCGATTTTGTTCGTAGATAATCAATGCGTAACTAAATAGAACAAAACAAAATCAATAATCTATCTTATGACCAAAGAGCACTGTTACTTGTTCATAAAAATAGCCAAATGTTGTCTTATCATGAGTTATTGTTTCAATTGACTGAGGAAAATATCTCAGACGTAATTCAAACCTACAAAAAGAAATAAGAACATTTATTTATTTCGTACATTGACAAGCAAAACAACTCTAATCTTGAATTTGATCGAATGACATCCTAGATAAATAATGTACTAGAATGTTTTTCAGGTAGTTCATAGAAAATTTGTGAAATAACCCAATTATTTTCTTCCTCCGTGAATAACGACACTATCTCGAAATAACACTTACTAGTCGATAAATACGATCGATATACGTAGAAAGACAGAAAAAAGCAAAAGCGAATAAATATGCGTATGCAGATCACATAAAAGACTGCATGCAAGCCAGGCACATCGCTTAAATACTGAACATATCTCAACAAGAGTCAAAGCAAACTGCTTCCGTTTTTCTAATTAAGTTTCAGCTGCAATCAAGTGCAAAAAGATTTTCACACAAGCTGTAAAGAAAATAGCATAATTAAGGTAGCCTTCGGACGAATTATGTCTGGGATCACGAGGGTATTTAAGTACAAATGGTTAAAAAAGACAATCCTCGTTACAAATATAAATTATGGCTAAGACTTGAAGAGCGCTTGAGGAACAGCGAGTCGAGAAATTATAACTATGACAGATAATACAGAATTATTCTAGTATACTTGAATTTCAAAATAAAGCGAAACCCGCATTTAGCGCAAATCAACCAAGATTCACTAAAAATTGAGCCAAAATTTACAATTGATGAAGCAAATGTCGACTTTAGAAGCGAAACAGGCAATAAACGTGACCCAGAAGTGCTTTAGTTACCAATAATTTATCAATTCAGCTGCGATTTTTCATTCATTTTATGTATCGTAGGTAAAATGAATTATTCAATTAATGAGAAAGAATTCAGAGTAGTCTGAAATGAAAGAGAGTTTTTCGTTTATACAACTTGTTTGCGAATATAAACTTGAAAACATTTTATCTCAGAGTTAGTGATACTGGAAGATTCAAACAAAATTTCGCAGTTATAAATTGACCTACTTTAATTCGTTGACTGGACCGTACGTTTTTTGAATTTTGTTCATGGTCATATCTGGATGAAGCCATTTTTCATCGATTGTCTTCACTGATGAAGACGTGGATGTTCTGAGTGCGTTTTTGTGAGATGCTGCTTTATTAGTAGTGTTTAAAAATGAAATGCGTAATGAAAATGATAATCCATAAAATAAATCATATTGCGAAAGACGAGGTCCTTGCAATACAAGTTGAATCAGCTCCTAGATGTTAAAGACATGGTGAAATCGGTTATGAAAGAAAACAAACCATACTCGAACGATCGTTGCTGATGTGTAACGTAAGCCATGAAAGCTTCCATTTGGAAAATAAATTTTAAGAAATGAACTTTGTTCCATTTAATAGTAAAATAATCAACATACTGTTTTTCTTTACTAGAAAAGAAATCACAAAACACACATGACAAAAAAGTCCGAAAGATATCGAATATCTGAAACCTCGATCTTGTGCTAAGTTACTTAACTTATTTATTCATGAAAAGTATGAGTCGTCAAAGGTCATAGACCTTATAATAATAATACTCAAATCAAACAACAAAGAAAGAGTAGCAATAAAAACACACTAAAGTATAAGACGGATACATATAAAGAAAACAATAAAACAAATAAATTAACAGGAGCACGAGCTGACTAGGAATATGACTAGATTTTTACTGTAAATGATGTTGAGATAAAGTTCTTTTAAATGATAATAAAGAAAAGTGATAGAAGAGAGAGATAACACAAGTAAGAAAACGAACTGTCATACACGACACAACAATAATCAAATTTAGGAAAAAACAAGAAAGATTCAACATCAAACTTCTGATAATCCAAAGTCCTTAGCTTCAGTTGACAATTCAGGGCAATGTCCTTGGCATTCTCACATCACGTTTAGAGACACGATGTTAGCAAAATATCAATTTGAGATAAAATTGATACAGTTTTTAACATGAGAAAATGCTTTCCATAGTGCCGAGAAATTTGTTGTCTTCATCGTCCCTTGCAGTCTTGTACACCATAGCAAGTACAAATGTTTTGAAAGCTTATTGTTTGAAAGGTCTTACCTTTTTATTCAAGGAGACGTTTGAGCAATAATTGTAGGTTCACTCATCCAAGCATAGACTTAAGTCAATGCTTACTGTAACAATAATGTCTATGAATTATTTATATCCTTACATTACAGTGGGTGATGAAGCGATGGCTTAGGATTGTTTTCTCGTTATCTTAATGAATGTCTTTAACTTAAGTTCACGATCAATCGAGTTAAGATACACTTAATTTAAAATAAAAACTCAAGTAAACACTTACGAACTTCAATAAAATACCACAACTTAGGTTAATGTTTAACTCAAAATTTAAAAGCCGCTGAATGAGGTTCTCGATGAAACGATCTTAATAAGAATGTCAGGTTTTAAAATCTGTTATGAAATACGATTCGTTCACATCTTCGACCAGTCATAATAAAATGATGGCGCTGGAGATCGAATGTAAGGTAAGATCTACTCGCGCACCTACCTGCAAACTCCTGTATGGTATCCCGATTAGCTAGCTTTGACCAATGATGTATTTCTTCTATTTTCATGTGATCAGGAGTTCACTGCATTTGCTATAGTGACCAGAGTTGCCAGATGGTCTGCATTTTGGATTTTTTTTCCACAATTTGTCCGCATTTTAAGCATTTTCTACTTTGGCTGTTTTCCCCCGGTTCATATAAGATTTAAAAATTTTTCTGTGAAACCAACACCATCTGCAAACATACACAAATTAGTTTCATTTATATTTTATTTTTGATCCCGTGCAGTAATTGCATACGTCGAAAGTGTGTTTTCTGCCATCAAACATTTATTTAATGATAAAAGAAATGTCAACAGAAATGTTTGCAGCTGAGTTAAAAATTCGCTTAAACTCATCGTTATCATTTACTGAACCTTATAATTATTTCTTATCAACGGCAGATCTGCTTAAATTTATTCATTCTAATGAAAACTATACGGTCTCAAAACAACGTGTCAATTAAAATTGAAATTTGCATTTCTGTTTGTTGTGTTGTTCTCTTGTGTTTTATTGAATAAAACCACAAAGTGCGAGAGAAAGCATTTTTTTCCATTTTTTGCACGTGAAAACGGTTGAAGTTAGGCCATGAAAATGCGTTTATGTTTTTTATCCGCATTCTGACAAAAATTTTCGGCTGTTCCTGTCCGCATTTTGGAATTTTGTTCCGTATTTCTGATCTGAGCATCTGGCAACTCTGATAGTGACATTGATACGCTTCAAAGTTCAGTGTGAGTTACTGGAATTTATTGGATGAAATTCTCAAATCCACTTTCAAAGGTTCAAAGATTGTGTTTCCAAAAAGTATTTTTTCCGGCCAAGAGCCATTACAGCAATATTCGTTGAGGGCGTTACTTGACAGCTGTACTTTTCTGTACCGCTGTGCTAGAATGCAGCGTACTCAGCGAGTATCTCTGTAATGGCTCTTGGGCGAAAAAAATACTTTTTGGAAACACAATCTTTGAACCTTTGAAAGTGGATTTGAGAATTTCATCCAATAAATTTCAGTATTCCATACTGAACTTTGAAGTGTATCAATGTCACTATAGCAGATGCAGTGAATCTTCAGTTCGCACACCATACGAAGAAAGGATAAAGAAAAAAGAGTAATTAATCCATCAAATTATCTTAGGTAGAATATTTTATCTGCAAATTTGCCTTTTTTGAGGACAGAAAAAGATGGTGAAAGAACCTAAGCTAGTGCAGTTTGATAGGATGTAGCTGCACCTATCTCTGTAGTATTCGCGTTCATTAATAAATTTTATTCTTCGGTGAACCTCTAATCATATTATTCATTTCTGTCTACAACATCTGACAAGATGCAGACGTTGTAGTCAGAAAAAAAAATGTCAATTCCAAAGTAATAACTTTATTTTTTTTTCATTCTAGATTTTTTAAGATTAATGCTTACAAAAGGTTTTGTACGGCATTTGAAATTAGATAACAATACCGGCATCAATCGACTCAACAGTCAGGTAAAGCATTTTTATTTCATACAGCCATGATTTTCGACAAATTTAGACTGATGAACGATCTGAAAATACGAAGGTCAATAGGTTAAATAATTTGTTTTTTGTTATTATTATTTTAGATCAATCAACGTATTTCTCAACTGTTTCGATTATTAACAACTCAGCCGTCAAAAATGACTGAAAACTCTTTGATTATTAATGGTTGCTATCCTACTCGGTTTGGCAAACGTACTGTTTTTAATGGTCTGAAGAATGATCCCATGTTTTCGAGTGAAAAAATTGCTCTTCCAAAGTTAATGGATGGTGAAATACTTGTTAAAGTTCGTTTAGCGTCAATTTGTATCAGTGATGTTCATACAGTAACAGGTCAAAGGATAGAGCCAACGCCAAGGTATAATTCCCAAAATATACTTGATTATTTAATCATAATTCTGCTTTTTCAGTGTTTTAGGTCACGAAGCCGTTGTTGAAGTAGTTAGTCATCGACGTCAACATAGCGATTTAAATGTTGGTGATCGTTTAACATTTTCTATTGCTGATAGTTGCGGAAAATGTGAATTTTGTTTGAAAGGATTAAATCAGAAATGTGCTAAATTATTCAAAGTAAGTGAAATACTTTTAAACTTTTTAATTTATTTCAGCTTAAAAACAATTTTAACTATTTATTATTAGTACGGTCATGCCAAAATATCAGACGGTTCTGGATACAATGGTTGTTATGCTTCACATATTATTTTACGACGTGGTACTCATATTGTTAAATTACCAGATCATATATCAGATAAAATTGGTGCTCCAATCAATTGTGCATTAGCCACAACAATGTGCGCAATGGAACACGTTTCAAAAGTAAAAAATGGTCGAGCATTTGTACAGGTATTTAGCAATTTAGAATTCTACTCTAAATTCATAGTAGTTGAACACATAACGAGTTCAAGTTTACTTAATACCATCTTAACTTTCATATGATTCTACTTTGTTCGATATTTAAAGTACAATGTAAAATAATAATTTAATTATTTTCTTTAGGGAGATGGCATGTTGGGACTTTATACATCGGCCGCGCTTCGTGAACTCGGATATGAGAAAGTTTATTGTTCGGGAACTCGTGAACGACGCTCACCGTTTATAAAACAGTTTGGTGCTATCCCCTTGTATCAGGGTAAGTGAATGATAACTTTGTTTTTCAAGTAACAGAACTTATGAGTAAATTCGATGATTATTTTCATGAAATCAATTACTACACTTCGATTCATAATTATCACCCAGAATTTGTGTAGTTCAGTTGCATGAATGAACTCAGATCTCCAAATCTTAAGATTTATGGCTAAGTGTTACACAGTCTTACTAGATGCAAATACTTTTGATAAAATCAATGTAAATCTTATGAATCATCGATTATTGGTCAAGACAGATTAACAAATTTGTATTTCACTCTTTATACGAGACGCAGTGGGTCCTAAAATCGATAGATCTAAAAGCTAACTTTTTGGAACTAGAAGGCTGCGGTTTTCACCATATTGCTATTCATGAAGTCTAGTCTATATGTGAATATTTTCATCTTAAAATTTCACGGTGTTCGTTTTTTATTGAAAAAATAGCCAGCACACCTGCCTCTTTACTGTTCCAAAATTGATAGATCAGGAATGCAGAAAACGTGAAAAAATACGTTTACGCCGAATTGTTTTCTTTTACCGGTTAGTTGATCTGATCTAGGTCCTCTCATGTGTATAACACCCTTCGTCCATATTAGAAATTGTTTCATCTCATTTTCATGAATAAAAAAGTAATGACGAAAACGTTACGGAAGTAACGCTCAAACGATTTTCACGAAAAATTTTTTAAACGGAAATACTGAACGTGAAATTACTTTTAAAATGTTAATTTCGAAAACTACTATTCATTATATCTTTCAAAAATATTAAAAAGAAATGTACTGGTAATATTTTCGATCGACGTCGAAGCGGAAAAACAACAGTGAGAGTTGACAAGGTGATTCAACGGAAAATTAAGATTGGTCGACACAAATCGGCGCTGTCTGTGAAACTGAAGGTCGAACAAGAGTTGAGAGTATCGATATCTAAACAAACTGTTCGACGACTAGCTCATGAAGGCGTGTTGTATGATCGTGTTGCTCGCACTGAAGAGTCCAAAATACGGTAGTCTATAAATATTTATAACTCAACTTTTTTCGGTTAGTTCTCCAGCGGAAAACCGTTTATAAACCCATTTATAGACCAAAAATATCCACATATAGACCAGACTCCATGAATAACAATATGGTGAAAACCGCAGCCTTCTAGTTCATTTAGTTTCGCAGATATAGCAGAAACCAAAAATTTTAGCTTTCTGGTCTATCGATTTTGGGACTCACTGTATATATGATTGATTGAGAAGTTATAGTTGATTTTCCTTGATTTTTCCATGTTTATTCTAGACAAAATAAGTAAGAGACACATGAGCACGTTGCGCTTTGTGGCATGTTAGTGTGTTACATAAAAAGATCTATGACTCTTGATTGCGCTTCAGAAACTTCTTTCTCACTGATTGAACTGAGATATAATAACCACTTTGCTTAGCAAAAAAAACAAATTAAAAACGTGTATTGTAGCAAAGAAATAATCAAAGCACTTGCATGTTTGTTTATCATCAGGGAGGAACGTAAATTCTTTGCACAAATATGAAGTGAAGAGTAATACTAAAACATGAAGACACCCACAGACATCCATGCCTGGGTACTGCCTGTTAGAGCCCTGCAAGTTACGACTTTTTCACAATCTAAACCTAACCCTAACCTATTAGTATTTTTCGTAACCTAACCTAGATTAACCTAATATAACCTATGCAATTTTTTCCCAAAACCTGATCTCAGAAGCCTGAACTTCAGCCTTGTTCCAGATCGTTATTGTTCTTATCTAAACAACGTCTGATAGAAAAGCTTAAAAATAGTTCAGTTTAAACTAAAGAACATTTAAGATTGATGCGATCAGTGCTAAGTGAAAGTGTGAGAAAGTCTCAGGACGTGGCAAGAGCGGAATATCAGGTAGTTATTCTGTTTGTAGTAGTAAAAGACTACGCTTTATTACTCAAAATATTGGGGATTTCAACGTGGTCGTTCAAAATCGTTTTTTTCGTTTAGGTTAAAAATAGGTTTTCACTGCCGTAACCTACAACCTAACCTATAAAAAATTTCATAATCTAAACCTAACTTAACCTATAAAAATCATAACCCAAACCAAAACTAAAGTATTGCTAAAGTCGGCATTAAGTCATCATCATTTAGATACTACACATTCGATTGATTGGGATAACTGATCAGTTATTGATCGTGACCCTATCGAACATCGGTCATTGCCTCGTGAATCATTATCTATCGCCTCAGATGCCTCTAGTTTAAATGGAGCAGTTAGATCTGTATCATTAATCATTTATCCGGACGGATTACCAAAAATAACATGTTCCAATTTTCAACTTCTGGACTGAAGGCAAGAAAATAATGTTTATAGATCTTTTCCTTTTGTAAATGCCTGTTTCTATCACACATGTCTTTTACTTACGCTTATTTTGTCTTCTCAATTTCGTAGTTTCAAGGGTGTATATTCTGTGAATATGACCTGCATACAGATCGAAACGTTAGAATGTTTGAAATAAAAAGATTTTAATTATGTTAATTAAACAAAAATTTAATGGCTGCTGTTAATCAAAATCTTGTACTGCTGAATCTTTTGGCTCTTTATTGTCTGAATTTATCTTATTGCAAATTACATATGATAGCAATTATCCATAATTTTGTGGATATAAGTATTTTAGTGGTGGTTTGATGGATGTGGATCGATCATTTTCTTCCTAGTCTAAAAACTGTGAGCTATCATTTGAATGATATCATTAGTAGTACATAAGAGTTCAGAAATCTACAGATTGTTAGATATTCATAAGATATGGTCATTTCAATGACTTGATGACGAATGTAACGTTGAAAAATCTTGTTTTAATATCTCCACGGCATCCTAAGTAGATATGTTTTTGAATTATTCTACTTTGATTTTGACATTTTTACAAATTGTTTTTAAGACGTTTTTCGACGATTTAAAATTTTTTGTTCGCTCAATAAAATGTTTGCCTATCCATTAAGAATATCTCTGAAAGTTGTACGTTCTGAGAAAAAATTATTCAAGGATTTGTACAAATTTTCAAGTGGTAAAAAGTGCATTCCGAAAGGGATACAAAATTTCTGGAATGGCATTTTATAAATAAGAGAAAATTTATCGTTTTGCGTCGGAGTAGTAAAACAAAGAAATTCTGAATTTTTAATGAAAAAAAGCGTAGCATACGGACCAAAAATCATTCTACTCTTCGTAAGTCGAAGAAAAGACGTGTGATTGCGTCGCCAGAAAAAGTCAGTTAAACAATTATTTTCCTGATACACATAAAAGTCTATCAAAAGATAGTTAGTTTGTGTCTAATAATAGAGAGACAGATAGCATTTGATTTTGTGTATAAATTTCTGTTTTTCCTCCCAGAATAGTTAGAGAGTACGAGATAGTTCGTTTGAACGTAGTTTCTCTTATAACTACTGTTGTCACTTTGAAACTAGTGCTGGGCTTCTTAAAAAAGAAATGACATTCTGGAATGGATTCATTTATCTTTTAGTGCTTTTCTTCTTTGCTGAAAAATGCGGTTCTTCACTGTCATCATGACGATATTTTAAAAACCTTTCAACATTATATTCGTCATCAGATCATAAAGTTGACCATATCCTATGAACATCTAAGAAGCTGAATATTTGTCGTAGATTATGTAGTAGGTATGTATGCCTTTGGTCGAAAATTGAAAACACCGAAAGTGAAAACGCAGAATGGATAAGATCGAAAAGTAGAATGTCGAAAGTGCAAAATGTCGAAAATCTTTTGGTGTTCTGTTGATGAGGTGACATCAATAAGTATAGATCATAGTCCATTCGGTTTGGTAGATTTGTACAAAGTATTGTTTAACAATTGTCAAGCGGACGGACAGAAACAAAAACTCTCTAAAATTTACATAAGAACCCTTTACTATTCATTCTATCTTGTTATCTATACCGTCGGAAACTAATTTCAACATGGTAACTCCTGTCAGTGTCACTTATCAAGAGTAACAAAGGAAACGAATTGTTGGTTCTTGATTCTTACATATTTCGATGCAACAAGACATCAAATACAACAGCGTATCAGTACACTGCTTGAACGATATGAAAATGCGGAAATTAATTTAGCAGAACTGCTACAAGGACTATCGTTTGTCGTTGCAAAAGCGAAAACAAGGAAAAAGGAAGTAGTGTACTTGGCGATTAATCCTTCGTAAACCTGTTAGCTATTGTTCTCTATCTAATTTCTTCGAGAACGTTACTTCTCTTTGTCATGTAAAGACAACAACAACAAGACACAGAACAACAAATGACTATTCCGATTTATATATATGATTTGCAGATCTCTCGGCACAACTATGAGCAAGAAATATTTTGGAGATACAGTCCGCTTCCAGAACTCACATTTTAGTTGGTATTCCGGTTCGACTTTGTGCATTTTCGACATTTTAGGTTTTCTGCATTTTGTACTTTCAAAGTTTTTGTTTTCTACATTTTACCTTTTCGACATTCTACTTTTTGATCTTATCCATTCTGCGTTTTCACTTTTGGTGTTTTCAGTTTTCGAGATTCGGCCATACATTCATGTGGTAGATACACGATAAAATCACTCGTTTGCATTGCTATGGTAATCTGATGGTTGCTTTCTTCTACTCTTAGAGCACGTTGTTCGTCTGTAATCACTGATAATTTTGTTCTGTGTTTTTGAATTCTAACGTACTTTACAAGAAATCATTCTTTCATTCATATTTAGATGAGACCCTTGAAGAAGAAATGAACAAAATTGATGTTGTTGTTGAAGTAGGTCTAGACGATAAATGTATCATTGATACGATTTGCTTTCGCTTTTCCTTCTTAAACCAGGTCTAAATTTGTTGTTGTTATAAAGATAATCATATTCAGTAGAGAATATTCATATAACTCTTCTGGAAAGAGTTTTGATGCTACCTTTGACGGAGGTGTACCGCATGACTTTAAACACACTACGTAACTAATACTCTTGGTTATTGATGTCAATGTAATTAACTATCTGACATAACTATTTAAATTTTGAAACTATGTGTTTCATAATAGACTGTTTAACAATAATTGATACTGAAAGCATGATATAAGCTCACTCGTTTGTTTAGGTATGCGGTTCATCGACTGTTGTGAATGATGGTATTCGACTTTTAAAACCAGGTGGTTTGTATTTACTTATCGGCATGGTACATCCACAATCAAAGTTAGAAATTACTGGAGAACAAATTATTCGGAAATGTCTTACAATAAGAGGTAAGACTACTTAATAGTGTGTATGTACAAAGAAGACTATTGTTTTTTAATCTCTTATACGTTTATTTCAGGTATTCATAACTATGCTTCAAGACATTTAGATCAAGTTGATTTACATCATAATTTTCTTTTGTAATTAAATTTAAAATATTTTCATATGTATCAGATTCACAAGCAATATGTAATCTGTAAGGATATAATTCTGACATATAAATATAAAATTGTATTTATCTATAGAGTATATCTAAATGAGAATTGTTGTTTCAATCAATTATTCTAAATATATTTTAGCCTATATATATACACTCTAAAATTTTTCCATGCTATACCATGCTACACTTTTTATTGTTCATTTTTTTTTGTTAAAATCTTGTTATCCCTTTTCTCATATTTATATAACATTTATTTCTTCAAGAGTATGATGAAATAAATTTTATGTTTAGAAAAAAAATAAGCTTCATTGAACGGAGTAATGCAATTTTAATCAAATATAAGATAACAAATCAAGTATAGCATAGTTTTATATAACAGTAGTAACAATGGATACTTTTATATACTAAATATTAAAAAAAAAAACATAATAATAATAACTTTTCAATAAAGATGAGTTAATATATAGAAGTAAAAAGCCCTATAATGGATGAATAACAAAAAGTAACAAAGTTAAGTATAATAGAATTTATGTCATTAAGAGAAAATAAGACAAAAATGGACAAATAATTAATTCTCCTTAAA